CCCTCCTGTGGGCTGCAGGACCCTTGAGGACAGGCCCTGTGTGCCCAAGCTGTGTCCTGCCCAAGGCAGGACAGGGTTCCCCAAGACCACCTGGTGGCTCTGAGTCATGTGGTCAGAGCTGGAGAGGGCTGGGGATGCTCCACCCTGCCATGGCCCCCGTGTCTCTCAGATGGCCCATGGCCCAGCTCCAGGGCCTCTGCACACCCCGAGGTCACAGTAGTCAGCCGGCCTGCTGGGAGCTGCAGTGATGAAAGGACCCAGCTCACAAATAAGCCCCAGGCCTGACCATGCAGAATAGCAGATCTCAGACACAAGAGTCATGGTTGCAGCACTGGACCCAGGAAATGCTTTGCCGGAGAACATGGCCTTCTGCTCTAAATCAGAAAGTGCCACTAGCAGACAGCAGAGGAAACTGCACTTGTCAGAGGAAAAGGTGGGGCAGTGTTGCGTCTGGAGAAGCTTTCTGGCCATCACCACACTCCTTGTTTTGTGCCACTGCCCGAGGACAGCCCCTCGTGGTGGCTCTGTAGAGGCTGCAGACTGACAAGGACGGTGCATCTGGATCAGCAGCTCTCTCCGAGGTCACTGGGCTCCAGAAATGGAAACATAAAGGGCAGTTGCTGTCATGCAAGCAGGTGGCTGGCTCTGACCTGGGGCCGCAGGGGTGAGAGATTATTTATGTGGCCTGAGAACTGCACAGAAGGTAAATGCTGTGTGAGGTGTATCTGTGTCACCTGGGAGTATCGATGTGAGAGCTCAGGAGCTGTAGCTCCTGGGTGTCACACACACACACACACACACACACACACAAACACACAGATAACACTACAGAGAGCCAGGAGCAGCCACGCACACTCCACACCCCCTCTTTTGTAGCATCCACAGTGCTGTCTCACTAGCGAGCTATCAACATGTGTGTACTGAACGAGGAGGGAAGCCGGAAGGAGGGGCTGACGATAAGGAAACTGGCGCCTGTGCATCTAGGGTCTGGTCTGAGATTCGGGAAGTGGCCCCCCAGAAGCACCACGGAAGTGCTCAAGAGGAACAGGCCTCAGACACTAGGAGCCCAATGCAGACAGAGAATCCTTGCTTGCTCAGAAGGAACCAGAGGCCCAAGAGAAATTGCTTCCAGCCTCGTCATCTGACGGCTTGCAAATAGGAATTCCCGACGGGTCATGGAAGGTTGATTGCAGATGGACATTATTAAAGACTAAGAGATGTAGAAAATAAAAAGGGAAACGTTCCGCACACTTATTGCTAAATGACCTTGCAGGCATGTATGTGTGTATAGATACAGCATGTTTGTTATACGTATATATGCATA